AGCAGGCCAGAGCGCCGTCCTGCTTCCCCAGGCTCCTCGGCCAGGCTAACAGAAGGCTGCAAGGCAGCCCTGCAGCAGTGTCCTGCATGAGAAAGAGGGACAACACAGAGTCTGCAGGTTGCGCAAGGGTAACGGGAAAAGTTTTCTCATCCACATAGCTGCATCGAAGTTTTCCCTTTTGAAAGAATGGCTAACGGAAATGATACAGCCTTTCCATGCTGTATTGGCCCTTGTTCACGGTTTCCTTTCATTTCCTCAGCTACCGACTCCTGAAAATTGCTCTGGATGGATAATGACCAGCCTTCCTTCTCTCAGTAAAAGGTTCCCTCACACAATTCTGACCTTGGTGTCTTACATTGCTCTCTGGCCAATCTCACTACTGAGAACAGAGGTTAGAAACCGGTCAGGGAGGGCAGGGGCCCCAAAGCAACAGTCCAAGAATGACCTTGCTGGAAGCTTCTGATTGCTGTTTCTTTCTTTTCTCCTAAACGAGCTCCTCTTCTCAAGGCTATACCTGACTGTGGTGTTGAAGGGAGCTAACACCCCACCGCCCATGGCTCCCCAATCTAAGCCCAGTCTCTGCCTCAGCCCTTAAACTCCAGACTAGTAAAACAGGGCTACAGAAGACCGCATCTCAAACAACACAAAGCAAAAAGACCATCTAATTTGGACTATAGGGAATTTAGTGTGCATACTGAACAATTTTAATTGTAGATGTTTTTGCTTGATGTCTTGGTTTTTCGAGACAAAGTTTCTCTGTAGCTTTGAAACTGTCCTGGAACTCGCTCTGTAGCCCAGGTTGGCCTCGAACTCACAGAGATCCGCCTGCCTCTGCCTCCGGAGTGCTGGGATTAAAGGTATGCAGCACCACCACCTGGCCTACACATCCATTTTAATTACATATATTCTAATGTGTTTTTAATCTGCTTAAACAAACATAAAAAAATAAAATCCATGGCTAATAACATGTTGAAATTAAAAACAAATGTACACTCATATTTTCCATAACTAGTGGAAAGTCATGGAAAGAACTAAGACATATAATCAGAAAAATAATTTAAAAGAATCTTATTACCTTTATTTTATGGGTGTTTTGCTTACATGTATGTCTATGTACCATATATATATGATGCCTGGTGTCCAGGGACACCGAAAGAGGGTGTCAAATGCCCTGAACCTGGCGTTAAAGACAGTTGTAAGCCACTATTGTGGTTTGAGGCTCCCAGTCAACCCAGGCAGACACAAGAGGTTACCACAAGGCAAGATTTAAGGCAGGGCAGCACAAAAGAAGGGGGAGGGGAGGGGGCTGATCTATCAGGGCCACAGAACACTCAGGAGTTGAACTACAGCCCCAATGTTGAAGTCAAGTTGAAACAAATATTTAAGCACGAAAATCACAAACATTTGTTGCCAAATTACAGTTACGGTTTTTACCAATCAGGATTTAGAGATGGGGGCTTCCTTGAAGGTTCCATCATTGTCAGCAGACATACAATGCAAGCTTTTCAGTCCAACCAATCAGATTCATTTGTTCCTTCTGTTGTTAGGAACAGCCATGATGTTTCTAGAGAACTAAAGATGCATAAGACTGTTTCGATGGTTTAGGGAGGGGTGGGTCAGCCTTTGGAAGGTCTCCAGCTCCCCTAAGGTTTAGGAACCTGAAGGTAAAATGGAGTCTGAAGTCAAACTGGCAGTTCTTAGGACAAGGTGCTTTTTGCCTGTTCCCAATACCACCACCTGGGAATTGAACCTGGGACCTCTGGAAGAGCAGTCAGTGCTTTTAAGTGCTGAGTATCTCCACAGTCCCATAAAAGTATTTTTTAACAAACCCACATTTTTAAATACATCTTAAAGAAAAATTCTCTGCACTTAATATCCTGAAGAGTAAATTATATAAAGATGTTAAAGCAGATTTTTTTTCTGTCCTGTCCCACAGTCATTCAGTCCCAAAGAAATACACAGAGGCTTATATTAACACTTATATAGGCTTATATTATAAACTTTAGACCTATCAGCTCAGATTTATTATTAACTAGTTCTTACAACTTAAATTAACCCATAATTCTTGTCTATATTTACCTAAGTGACTTGGTACTTTTCTTTAGTGAGGCATTCTCATCTTGCTTCATCTGCATCTGGTTGGTGACTGTGTCTCTGCCTTTCCTCTTCCCAGAATTCTCTTAGTTTAGGTGCTCCACCTGTACTTTCTGCCTGGCTATTGGCCAATCAGCATTTTATTAAACCAATATGAGTGACAAATCTTTACAGTGTACAAGAGCATTATCCCACAACAATTACTAATAACACAAAGGGAACTAGAATGTTTTGTTTCTTTGAGACATTGTCTTATTATGTAGCCTTGGCTGGTCTGGAACTCTCTGTGTAGACTAGGCTGACTTTGTACTCACACAGATGTGCCTGCCTCTACCTCTCAAGTTCTGAAATTAAAGGCATGTGCCACCATGCCCAGCTGAAAAATGCATTTTCTTAAAGCTTTCTGTTAGACTACTATATATCGTATTTTGGAATACACAGGCACTAACCATCTTCTCTGGGTGTGTGGTGGTCCGTGACTCTAGTCCCAGGACTCCAGAAGAGTTCAAGGCCAGCCTGGTCTACATAGCATGGTCTGGAATAGCAAGGGTTACGCAGTGAGACCAACTTAGAAAAAACAAACCCCTCAATTACACTGATGGAAAGATGTTCGTGAAATAATGTTAACTACAAAATATTTGTTTTGTAAAGATGCACATTTGTATTGTTTAATTGCTTTAAAAATGTTTCATGTTCTGTCTTTGTCTTAGTCAGCATTCTATTGCTGTGAAGAGACACCATGACCACAACTCTTATCAAGGGAAGCAGCTAACTGGGGGTTGCCTACAGTTCAGAGATCCAGTTCACTATCAGCATGGTAGGAAGCATGGCGGCATGCAGGCAGACATGGTGCTGGAGAAGGAGCTGAGAGTTCTACATCTATCAGGTAACAGGAATAGAGACTACAGGGATTGGCTTGGGCTTTTGAGACCTCACAGCCCACCCACAGTGACACACTTCCTCTAACAAGGCCACAACTCCTAATAGTGCAGTTCCCTGGTGATCCAGCATTCAAATCTGTGAACCTATGGGGGCCATTCCTATTCAAACCACCACAGTCTTCAAACAAAATCTATTTCATAAAGGTTATACAGCACACACACATATATCTTGAAGTATATAAATATACATTCACTAATACATTTTAGGTAATATCATTAACTAAATATAATAGCTATTTTATTTATTGAATTGTTAATTTTCAAAAAAAGAATTTTATACCAAGGTCATTCTATCAATATGCATTGTTCACAAAGTCTCTGTACTGTCAAAAAACGGCATTTGCTGAGACTGGGCCAAGTGAATGTCGTTAGTGTAGAAAGGCACAGAGCTGTTAGCCCACTAATGTGCATGCCGGTTCTCTAGAGCGAAGATCCTCCCTAATGTCCACCCCGAAGTCTGCTGTGTGTATCATGCTTTACACTTGCTTCACACACGGGAAGGACTTGTGCACATTTTATTTGCACCTATTTAATAATTTATCTCCCCCCACCGACCAACACTTCGTGAGACTTGCGGTCACTCTGTCTTTCATGTTGTTGAAGAGTGCCAGCCATCGAGCGTATATGGCAGGAAGTCAGCAAACATGGTCTTAGTGAATGAGTTGTCAGAGAGCTCCAGGTGCTTAAAGTTTCCTTAGGCACTGTCATTTCAAAGTTATTCAATTGTATAATAACTTCAAAGCAGAAATTATGTTAACACCTCCAGGCCACTAGAGCTCCATTTAATGAATCATTGCTATACTTCAGTGGAATAAATTACTTCAGGGAACTGAGGCTATTTCTCAGAGACTGCTCATGACCTGGAAAAGGCTTGCGAAATGAACCTTCTATACTTTGAAACTGTAACCAGAAGGCCCTGGTGAAAAATGACCACTGGCTCATGAAGTGGACCAGAAGGCGCGGTGCTCCGTAGCCGCAATGGCCATCTTTGGAGCGTGTTTGGCAACATGGCATTTCCCACCCACGGAGGATGTTTGCTTATTTTAATAGTTCAAGTACGAAAAGCAGATATTCCTACTGGAAACTGCACACTGTTGACTCACTCATTTTTGGGGGAGGCAAATGATCTCACATATTACTTCATTTTTTACATAAGCAGAGCCCATGTCTAAACACCTTTTGAAGATATTTTAAATGTATAGTGTACTTATGCTTTCTATAATAACTTATGGTTTATGCTAGCTAGAAAAAAATCGTAATAACCTTTGCTAGCTATTACATAATGCTTTTGTTTATGTAAACAAAACAAGACAGAAAAGCCAAATCTTCTCATCAAATGCGAAACTCACAGCAATTTTCTCCACTAGTACCCCGGAAGTGTTAGAAGTACCCTGCGGTTTTCATTATTGGACAGTGGTTGAAGTGAAATAATAAACAATGACACAAAACATAAGCGTTTTTTTTCCCCCAGTTCCAAAATGGAAAGTATTTTACCAGCTGTCAGTGTCTCCACGTGGACCCTGACAATTCACTAACCGCTGACTTTATGCCTAAACTTTAAACCTTCACCCAATTTGGGGGTGGGGAAGAGATGCTTGCCCCAAGGATCAAACATAGGATGTTTCCCAAAAGGCTCTTGCAGAGGTTAATCTATGTGTGGCTTTCAAAGGGGAAAGTGCAGTGCCCCAGGATCGATCCAAGACCCTCTTCTGGTTTTGCTCTGTTTTGCCTAGTTAATAAACCACCAAGAAAGATAATTTTTAAACCTAATTTGCTGAAATGAGATTTACTAATGTCTGGGGCGGGGGGAAGCACCAATTTCAGAATTTTTGATAAATTGATTTTACATTAAAAAATAAAGATCTCCACTTTTGGCCGAAGGGGTAAAGAATACCTAGCTACTTGGTAATCCAAAAGAAAGGGGGAAATTACAGAAAGCCAGAACCCAAGGTGCCCTTACACAGCTCAGCGCTCCCTGGATGCTCCAAGGCCACTGCGGAGTCTGGAGGTCAGCAGCTCTCCGCAGGCACGCAGGTCTCCTGACTAGCGGCTTAACCTTCCAGTCCCCACAAGGCTCGCTAGCTCACTTGCTCGCCCGGGCGACAGTGAAGGTCGGGGTCTGCAGTCTAATCCCTGCAGTCCACCACCGCGAACGGCCTCCTGTCCCGGGGAGTTTGAAAATGCGGTTCCTGAAAGGGCATTTCTGATCATTCTCTTTCAAGGACACAATCGAGCCCGAAGAAAAAGCGCAGTTTCTTCGAGGTTTGTATGGAACAGAGTAGCTCTGG